GGCGAGTAGCTGGTTGTCGGGGCTGAACGCGACGGCGGTGACCCAGTCGGTGTGCTTCTCGCACGTGTAGGCGAGCGAACCGTCGACGACGCGGTAGACGCGGACCTTCTTCTTCGGCCCGCCGATGGCGACGAGCCGGTTATCGGGGCTGATGTCGGCGGCGAGGACGGTGTCGAGTTCGTCGCCAACCGTTGCAAGACGCGCGCCGCTGACCACGTCGATAATCGCCGCCGTGCCGAGCGCGCCCTCGCGCCCGCCGGCAACGAGCAGCAGGCTGCCGTCACGGCTGAACCGCACGACATGCGGCGCGCCTTCCAGGTACGGCGTCACGCCCAGCAGCGCGCTGGTCTCCGTGTGGTAGAGCGCGACCTGCCGCTGCCAAGGCACGGCGGCGGCTGGCGCCCAGGCGCTGGCGGCGATCGATTCGACGGGGCCAACGGCGTCGCTGGTGACCACCGGCTCGCGGTACCAGTCTTTGGGCATCGCCGGCTCGCCGACGGGCTTGCCGAGGTCGCCGACATCGACCACCGCGATCGCCGCCTTCTTCGACGCCATCGGCTTTGACTTGTCGTCCTTCAGCAGGCCGCCCTTGATCCAAGCGCGAACGACGGCGAGCTGGGCGTCGGGCAGCTTGTCGCCGCCTGGCGGCATCGCGGGCTGCTCGGCGTGCGTGATCAGCCGCCATAGCCGCGAGCCGTCCGGGTCCCCCGGCGCCACGACCTCCCCCCCTGCCCCGCCAGCGAGGACCCCGTCGAAACCGTCAGCGGCAAAGTCGCTGGCGGCGTCGTCTTGGTTGTGGCACCCAGCGCAGTGCTCACGAAAAATCGGCTTCACGTCCTTCTCGAACGTCACCGCGCCGAGAGCGCTCGACGCCGCTGCGACGAAGCCGATTACTGCAAGATGCTTAATCATGACGATGTTGAGGTGAGCCACAAAAAAGCACAAAGAAGAAGTTCGTCTGGAAGGACGATAGGAAGAGGTTTGACGGACAACCCTAACGGCCTACCGGTCTACCCACCTACCGTCCTTCTTCGTGTCTTTTGTGCCTTTCTGTGGCTCCAAACTTTTAGTGGTTGAAAGCGAATTCGCGGGAGTTGAGCACCGCCCAGAAGATGTCGCGCAAGGGTTCGATCGGTTTGGGGTCATCGCCGAGGAGCGGCGTTAGCTCGGCGCGCTCTTCTTCGGTCGCGGGGCGGCCTAAAGCGCTGCGATAAATGGCGTCGATGACTTCGACGGGCGTCTTGCCGGCCTCGAGCCATCCCTCGATAAGCTTGCCGCTGTCGATCTTGCCGGCGACCGTCGCGCCGTTCAGCAGGTGCAGGGCTTGCGACAGCGTCGGGTCGGTCTTGGCCTCGCAGGCGCAGACCGACTCCCGGCGTGAGCGCCCGAAGGTCGTCAGGAAGTAGTTGCCACTGTTGCCGTCGGCGATCTGTGTCGCGCGAGACCCGAGCGGAAGACCCGGCAGTTTCTCCGGCGCGCCGGTCGCCTGGCTGAGGCAGTCGAGCATCGTCTCGGCCGGCATTCGGCGGGCGTGCGAGCGGGCGAAGTTGCGCGTGTCGCCGGCGTTCGACTCGTTTGGCTCGCACGAACGCTGGTAAGCCCTCGAGGTGGTTATGTCACGCACCAGACGCCGTAGGTCATAGTCGTACTCGATCAGTTTCTCGCCCAGTTCGTCGAACAACTCGGGGTTGCTCGGCGGGTTGCTGACGCGGATATCGTCGAGCGGCTCGACGATTCCGACGCCGAAGAAGTGCGCCCAGACGCGGTTGGCGACGCTCNNGCGAACCACGGGTTCTCCGGCGACGTAACCCACTCCGCGAGCGCCTCGCGGCGGTCGCGGCCCTTCACGTCGGCCTCGGCGCCGCCGAGGAACTTCGGCTTCATCACCCGGCCATCAACCGGGTGCTTCGACTCGCCGCCACCCGAATTGAAGACGAACACCTCGCGGTAGTCCTCCCCCGTCTTGCGGCCGATCTGCGTGAAGAACGCGGTGAACGCGTAGTAGTCGTCCATCGTCCAGCGGTCGAACGGATGGTTGTGGCACTGGGCACACTGGAGCCGGGTGCCGAGGAAGGTCTGGGCGACGTTTTCGGCGATCTTCTTAGGGTCGGGCTCGATCTGATAGAAGTTGACCTGCGGCGTCGTGAACGAACTGCCGCTCGCCGCTAGCAGGTCGCCGAACATGTCGTCGAGCGGCCGGCCCGTGTCGATCTGCTCGGTGAGCCACTGTGAGTACAAGAACATCGGTTTGTACTCGACGCGGTTGGGGAGCGTCCTCACGAGCAGCAGCTCGGCCCACTTGAGGCCCCACACCTGGGCGAAGCCCGGGTCCTTGAGCAACTCGTCGATTTTCGCAGTGCGCTTGGCCGGGTCCTCATTAGCGGTGAACGCCTCGACCTCGGCGACGGTCGGCAGGCGCCCGACGATGTCGATCGTGACGCGGCGGAGAAACTCGTTGTCGCTAGCGAGGTCGCTGGGGTGGACGCGGAGCGTGCGGAGCTTCGCGCTGACCAGCTCGTCGACGTAATTGGCGGGCGTCTCCGGCCTGGGCTCGAACGGCTCGTCGGTCGGCAGCACGAGCACCTGGCTGCCCACGGTGTGCGTGTCGAAGCGGGCGGTGACGAACGTTTCGCCGCGGCGGTCGGAGGTGACGAGGCCCGCGGCGTCGATGGCGGCGGACGACTCGTTGCTCGACTGGAAGACGACAAGGCTCGTCACGTCGCGCGAGGTCCCGTCCGAATA